ATTTTTCTTTGCATTATTTCATCTTTTTGAATAAAAAATTCAAGTATGCACCAACTTACATGTTGGGCCCGTGCTGGCACGGGCCATACCAATCTAGTATATAAATATATCCCACTCTCATTAATACAAACATATTCAATCTCACTATGCATCCAAAGTAACATATAAATAAAACAACTAAATTTCACAAAAGAGTGTCTTAATTGACCTTAGAGCAGTCAACATGTGGACTAATCTTGAAAGGAACATTGTTGTCACGCTCGGCCTACATCCTGGGCGGGACTGGCACTCGAAGACCATTGTTGGCCCCAAGCAAACCCTTGGTTTGGTTTACTTAACTCAGCAGAAGACAATATCCATATCTATAATGATCAATGAACTTAACTGAACTGAATAATAACATAACTGAGAATGTTTCAAAGATTAAACATTTAACTTGGCCAAAAGTGGCAACCCAAGTCTTAACATAAGATAAAATGAGAAAACTAAAGAACTAATAATTGATTGTCTATGAAGCCTCTAAAATAATTGAGATGGATGTTGGGACAAACCCCACAACATCCTAGTGAACTAAACTAGAAAGCAAATAAATGAGTCCTTCGAAATGCAAGGAGGCTCACCAACAGACTCTGAATGCTCAAGCTGGATCAACGAGGCGCTGGATGCTGATCCTGGTTACCTGCGTCTGTATCATAATAAGATGCATGCCAACTGGCATCAGTATATTGAATGTACGAGTATGCGAGTTGGATTGCTACCAAACATAGGCTCGAAAGAGATGATGAAAGAAACACTTACCTAGCTCTTCTCAACTCATGGATACTCAACTCAATATAATAAAACAACTGTAAACAATCTTAGTTAATTAAAGATAAAGTGATAACAAACTTAACTTTACTCATTTAGAAAGTAATATAACTTCTGTGGAAGATTCTCTAACCGACAACCATCACTATGAGCCTAAGTGATGGTATAACGTTTTACCTCACGTTGCCAAGGACCGTCCTATACCTTGCCATCGGTATAGAACCTGAACTACTAAGTGGATCCACTAGTCTATGTTGAAAAGCACTAAGGAATCATCTAAAAAGTATGACCATTTTTCTGCCCATGATGGCTACATGGTTTATGAGAGCTTAAGTTAATATGAACTCACACCCCCATATCAGTGCTCAATACTACTCCCAAAATATACTTAGCTCATATGTTTTAAAACAACTTCTTTCTTTGGTCTGAGATAATTACTCAAAACTTAGCTTAAAAGCTCTATTGGAATCGATGTTCCATTTTCTTGCTCAAATGTGAAAACATTTATAAACTCTTTGGGAATACTTAGTTCCCTTATAGCTTTTTGATAAATGAACTCAGCTCTTTACTCTTTGCTTAACTTGAAACTTAAGTCTTAAAACAAAGTTAAAACGTTTGTTAAAGACTTTTGAAAACTTTTAAAAGTTTGCTTTGACTTGCTCTTAATTTTTAGACTCGACTCTTAACCTCTCTTGACTTTGATCCTAACTTTCCTTGAATTGGATTATGGATTCAAGGTTCATGATCTCATGTTTATGAATGATTTTCATGATGTTTAGACGTACCTTAGAGTGTTAGAATCAACTAGAAAATATAGGTACATTGCTAAGGAACGAAAAGGTAGGGAACGAATGGGGAGAACTAGCGTCCCTGGCGCTCTGAGAGGCGCGGGGCGCCAGCCCTCAAACTTCAGAGCCCCTTTTGGGGGGCGCTGGCTGGCGCGACGCCCCACCCCTTCCCCAGGTGTTTAACGATTTTTCTCTCCGTTTTTCAACTCTAAACCCTCTTAACTTCAATTGTTCTTTTCCCAAACACTTATGATCATTTATATTCTCAATATATGATAGATTCAAACCGAAATTACACCCAGAAACACGAATCAAATTGCAAGAACCATCAACAACGCAACCCACAAGAAATTCAAACGAAACTTCAACAATGTTCATCACGAATTCAATTTCTAAACTTTCAAAGAATTTAATTCAGCTGAATTAAATTATGGTTGGCGCGTGGATGAACTGACCCAACGCTATGTGATCTCACATACCTTGTAGGGATTACCCCCGACGAATTCCACAAGCCAAACTTCGACGATCTTGAACGTTCTTGCTTCTGCTTTTCCTTTCTCCTTAGCCCTAGCATGAAATCCCAAATTCTAAAACGGACTAAAATCTGATTTGACCCATATTAAAACTCCTAAAAACGGATTAAAATAATAGGGCAATGAAATGACTAAAATACCCCTTAAAATTCCGGATTGGACATTTCCTTAATCCAAAAGCCCAACTTCCAAAGGGTATAACTCACTCATCCGAACTCGGAATCGCGTAAACTTGGCGGCGTTGGAAAGATCATTCCAAGAGAGTTCCAACCATATCTGGAAATACTCCTAAATCATCTTGAGCTAGGAGTTATGGTCGTTTGAAGTTGACCAAAAACTCACTTTAACTTGCTTAAAATTTTCCAGATTTCCGTATACTTTCCAAAAACGACTATTTCCAGATTTTAAACTTCTTTCTAGTTCTTTCTAGTTGCGAGATGTTACAATTGGTCTTACAAATTCTAGGGAGTGTAGCAGCACGGTTGACTTGAGCTTTGCTAGTGTTTGAACCAGCGCTCTTTAAGCATTTACAAGCGCTTTGGCGGTCATCTCTGGTACGTTCCATGCTGAGGAGATATTTAATCCCACCGCAACATTCTGATGGGACGCTTATTAATCCACCACCTAACACGTAACCAAGACATGGTTCGAGGATACTATACACCATGTTGCACCTGACTGGTGCATCCTTAGCAGCTTTAGATGACGCGGTGGCCGTAGCGATGTAAACGAGAAGCAAATGGAATAGTTGCTTGTTTAACATTGTAGAGATGGCCAGTATAATGTGTGATTTCCTTATCAATGTGTGTGTAGCTATTTATGAACACACGGTATGATAATTGATATTTCAAGTTGGGCCATATTATAAGACATCAAAGGTTTTTGGCCTCATTTCTTTACCCTCCATCCTTTCTCATTCCCCACCTTGTCTGGCTCCCAACTTCCAACTAATAGCAATTATGTTTTTTTTTTTTGTTGATTTTACTGGTAATAGTATTTTTTTTAAACGTAATTTTCAAATATCTGATAGATTATAAGGAAAAACAAAACACAGGAAATTATACAAAACAAATATCAAGTTATTGTTAGCTAGAAATTAAATAGGCATGTCGACAGATAGAAATAAAACAGGCATGTCGACAGAGATAGTTGACTGCTTTAATAACGGTATACCTATTGTTGGAAATACATTAATTATTTATTCATCCTCTATGAATATTTTGAGGTAGAATTTTATTTTTATTCTCTGTTTATAAATGATACCCATCAACAACAGTAACATATTCAATAAAATCTCATAAAATAGGGTTTAGGTAAAGTAGAGTGTATGTTATACTTGTAAGAGTTAGTGTTTCAATTAATTTTGAAACAAATTCATCCGTTAAAAGTTTTGAAATAACAAAATACATGAATGTGAGTTGTAACATTCATTTTTGTTTTAATTCTACGTTATAGATGTTTTGCAAGACACTTTTAAAATTCTACGTTATGAATTTTTTGAAAGATAAGTCTTATTTTCAATTCATGAACCTATAATAAATACTATTTAATTAAAAGTTTTTTTCTTGCAAAACTTTTGTCCTATAAATTGAGTTTCTTTTGGTTGAAACGATAAGCACTCAAAAAAACTACTTTCCCTTGAAAAACACTTGTGAAACATTAATCAAAAGGTGAAATCACCAATTCAAAAATAGAAGAGCAACATTCTTGAATGCTACTTGTTTTGTGGCTTAGTTGAATCCTGAAGATAGAATTGTTATTTATTCTTCCGATTACTCGTGGGAGAGACTCCAACTATCTTCAAGAAACGTATTAACGTGCCTCTAAGCCAAGCAAGTTTTGTTTTGGATTCCTTATATTTTTATCATTCTTGTTCAGTTGTTCTAACAATTTGAAGATAGTTGTCTCTATGGCATCCACTTCAAGAACAAACAATGTTTCAAATTTGTCCAATCCTAATTTTGAAATATTTGATGGCAAAAACTTTCCTAGATGGGCGTGGAAAGATGGAATTCTTTTTAAGACAATTAAAGTTGGCATATGTTTTTGAGAAACCTTGTCCTGACGCTCTTGGTTCTGAGGTACCAACGGACCAGGCTACTCTGATCAAAGAACAAACTGCCAAATGGCAAGATGATGATTACTTATGCAAGAATTATATTTTTGGAGGAATGTCCAATAAATATTATGATCAATATTATATTAAGTGCAAATTTGCTAAATGAGATTTGGGATACTCTTAAATCTATCCATTTAGCAGAAAAGGCTAGTTCAAATTAATTTCTTGTTTCAAATTATATGGAGTTTAAAATGGTGGATGATAAGTCAATCACTGAACAAGTAAAAGAATTTCAACTTATAGCTAATAAAATTGCTATATCTAGAATTACTCTTGATGAAAAATTTCATGTTGGTACTATTGTCTCAAAACTTACTCCATCTTGGAAGAAGTACAGAAGCAAACTCTTGCACAAGAAGGAAGATTTGACTCTTGAACAATTATTGCAGCACTTGCAAATTGAACAAGAGACACGATATCGTGACAAAAACAAAGAGCCCATCATGAAAGCTCATGTTGTTGAAGAAAAATCGATCAAGAAGGAACCTGCCAATAATAATTTTTTGAAGGCAAATTGGTCATAAAATTTTTGAAGGAACCTAAATCGAATGAATGTTATCATTGTCATAAAATTGGTCACTATGCACGTGATTGTAGAATTCTTAAAGCTGAAAAGAAGAAAGAAAAGGCAAATAACAATACAAAAAATGAATTGATGGCAATGGTCACAGAAGCATTTGTAGCGGGAGATCAAGTGGAATGGTGGATAGACACTGGTGCAACTCGTCATATATCAGGTAATCGAAATTCTTTCACGACCTATGAGTTAGTGGGGGGCGATAAAGTTTTGCATATGGGAAACTCATCCTCTGCTAAGGTTGTGGGAAAAGGAACTGTTGAACTGGAATTCACTTCCGGAAAGATGGTCACATTGATAGACGTATTGCATGTTCCTGATATTCGAAAGAACTTGGTGTCAGGTACGCTTCTTTTGAAACATGGTTTTAAAATGATTTTTGAGGCAGATAAATTTATTTTGTCTAAACAAGGCATGTTTGTTGGAAACAGTGGAGGATCCAGAAATTTACAGCTATGGGTGCTCACTATTTTTAACTTATATCAACCAAAGAGCATAATTGCGAGCTAAAATTCATCAACATAGGCGTTATTTTTTTTAATTCAATGCAATAGACAATCAGAATATTTGGATTGGTTCAAGAAAAAAAGGAGGAGAAACAATATACCTTCACAAACAATTGTAGTTACCAAAAAGGCAAACCAACGAGAAGGAAGACTTTTTAGCTTTTGAATTGGAGAACTGAAATAAAGGCGCTAGAACAAATTATTTTTTTTCTTCCTTTTATTTTTCCTAATTAGACGGATGAGAAAGAAAAAGTTAATAGACATGGAAGATCATGACCATTTATATTTTTTGGAGATTAATTACATAATAGACATGAGCATGACCGATTCAAGATTTTAAGATCGTGGTTACTTTTTAAGCTATCAATCATAAAATATAAATGTATAAATTTAACACTTGTCATAAGAAAGATAATTATATTTATATAAGATAGTGAAAAAAATCAACAAGAAAAATTAGATTGAAAAAAGAATTTTGTTTTAGAAAAATTAGAAATAGAACAATTCGTGAAAAGGGAATAAAGAAAAGGTAGAAAGAAAAGAGCTGATTTTAAAAAAATAAGAATGCCACTACAGGGAATCGAACCTGGGCATTTAAGCAGTATAAGACCTTGGGAACCAATTTACAACCACCGCACCAACTAATAGATTTGTTTATTGGGTGCTCGCCTTTTATATTATACGATACTGCCTTAATTTTGATATAAGTATATATAGTTCGATACGAGCTTAATGGGTGCTCGAGCACCCGGGCGGCCCCATGTGGGTCCGCCCCTGGTTGGAAAAGGTTATGTTACAAATGTCATGTTCAAACTCAATATTGAAAATGAAAATATTTTTGCTTATGTTGTGGAGTCTTTAGATTTATGGCAAGAACGCCTTGGTCATGTGAATTTTAGATCCATTCAACTTATGGTGAAAAATGAATTAATTAAAGACTGTGGAAAGGATCATATTGCTAAGTGTATTACTTGTAGTAAATGTAAAATAACAAATTTAAAGAAACTTGTTAAGTCTGTTGAAAGGATATCCACACTTTTGGAGTTAATCCACACTGATATTTGTGAGATGGATTATTTATCACGTCATGAAAAGAGATATTTTATCACTTTCATTGACGATTAATCAAGGTATACATATGTATTTCCAAAAGATGAGGCATTTGAGACTTTTAAAACATATAAAGCAGAAGTTGAAAATAAATTGAGTTTGAAGATTAAATCAATTAGATCTGACAGAGGTGGAGAATATTTAAAATCAGATTTTATTGATTTTTGTGAAAAAGAAGGCATTGAGAAACAATTGACTTTGTCTTATGCACCACAAGTCCACAACAAAATGGTGTAGCAGAAAGAAAAAATAGAACTTTCATTGAAATGGCTAACTCTATGCTTTATGGATATGGTATCACTGAAAAATTGTGGACTGAAGCCTTATTTTCTGCATGTCATATTTTGAATCGAATTCCTTCCAAGAAACATGATTCATCTCCTTATGAACTTTGAAAGAATCGAAAGCCAAATATAAATTATTTTAAAGTATGAGGTTGTTTGGCTCATGTTAGATTACCAGATCAACATTTGACTAAGATTGGATATAGAGGAGTAGATTGTGTATTTATTGGTTATTCACAAACCAGTAAAGCTTATAGATTTTTGAATCATGAGACCCCAAGCCCTCACACAATTATTGAATCGTTGCATGCTAACTTTTTTGAGCATATATTTCCTAAGAAAAAAGAATCTTTGGAACAAGATACAAGTTCTTCTATATCTCCTCTTAAAAGGAAAATAGTTGAGCCTTTGGAAGAAAGTCAACCAAGACGTAGTGCAAGATCAGCCAAACCAAGAGACTTTGGACCTAATTTTCAAGTCTATTTAGTTGAAAAGGATCCTGAAAGTTATGCTGAAGCAATGCCTTCACATGATGCTCCTTTCTGGCATGAAGCTATTGATGATGAAATGCACTCTATTATGTTAAATAATGCATGGATTTTATCAGACCTCCCTCCTAGATGTAAGTCTATTGGTTGTAGATGGATCTTTAGAAAGAAATTGAAATATGATGGTACCTTAGCTAAGTACAAAGCTCGTTTGGTAGCCAAAGGTTTTACTCAATTGAAAGATATTGATTATTTTGATACCTTTGCACCTGTAGCTTAGCTCGAATGACTTCTATTCGACTTTTGATTGCTTTAGCCGCAATTCATAGTCTGGTAATTCATCAAATGGATGTGAAGACTACATTTTTGAATGGAGATCTAAATGAAGAAGTTTATATGAAACAACCAGAAGAATTTGTCGTTCCTGGTCAAGAACACTAAGTTTGTAAGCTTCTTAAATCTCTTTATAGATTAAAACAAGCTCCAAAACAATGGAATGAGAAATTTAGAAGAGTGATGATTTCTAATGGCTACTCAATCAATGGTGGTGATATTTTCATATTTAGCAAATTTCAAGAAAAAATATGGTGTTATAATATGTCTCTATGTTGATCTTTGGAACTGATATTGAAAGAGTCAAAGAAACAAAATCGTTTCTAGCTTCTCAATTTGAAATGAA